TGTCGCCAAGCCCACTCTCGCCGGCAAGCCCGCTCTCCTGGGCATCTGCCTTCCCGTCGCCATCCTCCTCTGGGCCATCGGCGCTATCCTCTACCTCGGCCTGCCCGACTTCTACCGCCAGACCCCCGGCCCCATCCCCCAGCTCTGGAAGACACTCATGAAGCGTAAGACCATTGCCTGGTACCTCATGGCCGTCTGCATCCAGAACTACTTCCTCAGCACCCTCTTCGGACGTAATTGGTTCTTCCTCTTCGCGTCCCAGCACGTGCCCGTCTGGAGCATGGTCATCCTCGCCCTCTTCTTCTTCATCATCGTCTGGGCCCTTGTCCTCTGGGGCCTGGCCAAGGCCAGCGAGAGCCACCCCTGGTTGTTCCCCATGTTCGCCGTCGGTCTCGGCGCCCCGCGCTGGGCCCAGATCTGGTGGGGTACCTCCCGCATCGGTCTCTGGATGCCATGGGCCGGAAGCGCCGTCGCCGGTGCCGTCCTCAGCCGTGTTCTCTGGCTGTGGCTCGGCGTCCTCGACGGTCTCCAGGGTGCGGGTATCGGTATGATTCTCATGCTGACGCTGACCCGTGTGCACGTCGCGGCGGCCTGTGTCGCCGCTCAGGTTCTGGGTTCCATCTTCACTATGTTGGCCCGCGCCACCGCGCCTAATAACGTCGGTCCGGGTCCTGTTTTCCCTGATATTAGCGAAGGATTGGGCATCGCGTTTGCCAACGCCTGGTTCTGGGTTGTGCTTTTGCTCAACCTGTTTATTTGCATTGGTTACTTCAAGTTCTTCAGAAAGGAGCAAGTTAGCAAGCCTTAAAAAGAAATAGGCTATGAAATGTTTGGGTTAGATAAGGATAGAATTTTCTTTCATTTTTCTTGAGTAGACATGAACCTCAGTAATGACCAAACTACTATGTTAATAGAGTTAATGACTTGTTATCCTATTGTCGCCATTAAATCCTTCCGTGATAAGTTCCTCGCACGCTGCGCTGGATGGCATCGAAGCAGGCGCTCAATCTTGACTACCGCGATTTCCTTGCGAAATACCATACGGCCCGACGGCGTCAATTGCTGGTAAGCCGATGAAGGCAAAGACATAAGCCCCGCCGATTGGTAACAGTCATCAACGGCATCCGCGCCGCCCGGCTGACCGTGCCGGAGGGCCGACTATTATTTGCAAGGGTAGGCTTGGTCCGCACGGAAACGCCAACAGTCTTTTGACAACACGGCCTTCCACTCGCACGAGTAGCATGATCATTGCCGCAAATGTGCCGGATCATCGGTGCTTTCAGTGGCTCTCTCATCTAGAGCAATCTATGCTAGAAGCTTAAGCTTCCAAAAACACAGGCGCGGTAGGCGACCAAATCTCGTATCGAGTCATGCTAACCCACTGTACTACATGGTGTAATTTGACACCCGCTCAGATGATAGTAGCTCTGGAGACTACTGACTCGTTTCCACATCTCGCACAATGTCGAAGCTATATCAATACACTCTCGGTCTCTTCTGCCCCAGGAGACTTTTGGGCTGTTGAAGGCTTGAAGCTAAATTCCAACAACTCTATCCGTATTGAGAGCTTGTTCTTGCGGCCATCGAATGTCAGAATGAAGTTATCGCTCCTAGCTACAATCGCGGCGGTTGCCATCACCTCTACGGAGGCATGCGCCAAGTACAAGACTTGCTGGTAAGTAGATTGCATCACCCCTACAAATCTTCCAAGTGCCCTTTGCTGACTTTGTACTACAAAAAGGTGCGAGAGAAGCAACTTCATGTACGAGGGCAGACTGCAGGACAACATCCCTTGGGACGAAGACACCGTCAAGGCTTGCGTGGACCCCGGAAAAGTAGGATACTATGGGCAGAACTTTAAGGAGTGCCACCGATACAAGAAGTCGTTCTTCGCCTTCATTCCCTCCAAGGCCATTAACAACTGCGATTGGACCAAGGTGAGTTGACACGATGATCTTGGAGGAGACAAAGTCACTGATCAATGCCACACAGAAATGCCAATCGGTTGGTGCTACGACCGGATACTGCCGCGAGAAGATTTAGATACCCCGAAGTTCGAGATAGCCGTACGACGTTTAATGTTCACTTCAAATCATTTTCTTTCCCATGCCGATTCTCACAGTGCAACTTCCATGCAGCATACAGGCTGTTCAAAAACGACCCAGATCGAGGTTGCGGGTCAAGGCCGTGAAAATCTATCGCACCTGCGTGCTGTAGTCGGGACAAAGATGTTGGTTACTCATATAACAGCATGAACACTCAGTTCTACCACTTTGAAAACTCAAGAAGATCGACAACGCTTAATTCTGCACCTTCTCTACTACATTGAACTCCTGTAGTGCGTCAAAGCTCCGTGCAGCTCATCGGCGACGGTCTGGGCTTCTCTCAAGAGTGCAAGATAAAGACCACACCTATAGATCGAAAGTTTCTCTTTCGCAACTTTATCATCACTCATCGAAACATACGAGAAAGACTTCGCAACCGACACTACTCGGCCTCCGAATCAGTAGGAGGGACAGGCATGACCTCCTTGAGCTTCTCCCCGCCAAAGACAGGCATCTCCGCCGCAGTAAGCACAACAAACAGTCTCGCCACCTCTGTCTCGCTCACATTTCTCCAACCGTGCATCGTGCCCCTCTGCACATATACATCTCCCCTCTTGAGGATAGCCGTCTCCCCGCTGTCCAGCACCAGCTCCAGTTCCCCCTCGACAAGCACGCCCGTGTCCAGGGTTTCGGTCCGATGCATCGGCGCGCCGGGCCCACCGGGGAGGAAGTCAACGACGCGGGCGGCGAGGCCTCCGGGGATGTCGATGCCGATTTCGAGGGGCGGCTTCAAGGTAAGGTGGGTCTTGTAAGCGTCTAGATCGGCGTCTTCGGGGAGCGGAGCGGGGAGAGAGGGGGAGGTGTAGGCCAGGTAGAGGTCTGTTCCCGGGACGGATGCTTTGGGGAGTTCGGGGGCGAGGTCGGTGGTGAGGATTGCTTGGCCTGCGGCGTTGTGAGTTGTGACGATGCGCCGGGGTGCCGGGAGGGGTTTGTATGGTGTTTGACTGGACATTTTGAGAACCGCGAGTAAGATCGCAGGCTTGGAGGTTTGGTCAATAGTGAGATGAAACTGGAATGTAATCGTCTAGATGGAAGTCTGAGTCTTGCCAGAAAGCGTCATGTCAGCTTGCTTATATACCTAGATAAGTAGGTTGATTTATTGCTTACTGGTCTTCCTCACTGGCGATTGTTCAGAAAACGACGTAATCCGTCGACCGAGGAATACTTTGAAAAGACCGACGCACCGTCGGAAAACCTGCATGAAGCGAACCCCTCAATCCAGGATCGATACACCATCTTGCAGAATCTCCGGCCGAACCTAGCGACGGAACTACATCTCATTCGTTGTTGAGATTCCCAAGGATCGTTTCTCATCCATTTCTCCAAGCAAAGTACGGCGGAGGATCTATGCGGTCAGACTCGATTCGTCGCGTGTGTCCGACGAGGTGGTCAAAACGGCCGGAGATGGGATGGGGGGCGTCAGCTTACCTCATTGCAAAGATCACTTAGCATTTTGGAGGTCGAGAAGAGCTTAGACGATGGGCAGCGGGAGAGATTGCGTGGTTCTGACGAGAGGGGAAAAAAGCGCTTGTAATACTGCAGAGTATAATCAGGCGTTTAAGTTTCTTTCACCTCAGCCCTACTATTCCGCCGTATCTATTTGAGATGCAAATCAGGGTCCCCTATGAAGAGCTAGCGATCAAATCTACGGCATGCAGCATTGAACAGCTTGGTGTCTGGTGTCTTTCTGACCTTGACCTAAAGTAGTAAGTATGTCCTTAGTAACTTGCCTAGGAGGTGGCCACACTCTTAAGTATCAATCTTATTTGCTGCCTCAGGTCCCTCCAGAACATTAGAAACGCATTGAGGAATCCTACATACTGCAATGAACCCCAGATCTCCTCGTCCCAATGCGGAAGAGAGCTACCGCGAGAGTTGCGACAACCGCGCCAAATCTAAAGTACGCTGCGGAATGGAAAGACCGTGGTGTCGCCGCTGCATCTGACGGGGACAAGCCTGCAGCTATAGTCCATCACAACGGACAAGAAAGCGGACTTACTATGCGGCGAATTCCGAACCCGAAGAACGCAATGCAACTCTGTCACTCACCAATAATGAAACCACTGCTCCTCTTACGCCAGGTGACGGCGGCCTGGGTTCGTATACTGATATCGTGGGATTGTTGACCAGCGCCGAGTTGTTGACACCCGAAAACGCAAACTCGTTGTGGATTTCCGGGGGGGGGGGGGGCGAAAGACCCGGAAAAGGCAGATGCATTCATATTTCTAGACGACAGCAGCATTGACGCATCACCTTTGAGAGACTTGAATGGTATCGGCACGGCAAGTTCCGACTTTACAGCTGCGTGACTACCGGACCTTTCCACAAAGCAACAGCAGCACTGCGAGGCCGAGCTCATCTCAACCTTGGCAAAACTTGATCATCCGTCTCTGTCATATCGGGGAGGATTCAAGTCGTCACAGAACCTCGGGGCCATCCTGTCAGCTAGCCGTTTTGGCGCTCTTCTGTGCGTCGAACACGATATCTTATACTTGTGACGCCCAATACCAGTGTCGCCTTGCTTGTCACTGCCACTCTTTTTCGCCTTGTGTCTTGGTATGATATCGTCTTGCATAAATGTCGGACCCCGGAGAGGATACCAACAGCAGCCGGCAAGGTAGCAGCGGCAGCAGTGCCGTCAGTGAGGGCGCGAGTAGTTCTGTGGCATCCCCAGGATTCATTTCACGATGTTGAAGAGAGGCCGGAATTTAGGTTTGGTTGATGATTTCCTTGCCAGAACTTTTGCATAGTTGAGCGAGTAACATGGAGAATTAATGATTTCCGTTTTTTGTTGACCTGCTTGGGAGCTCGTTGTTCCACAGTAATCAACCAAACCTGACTTTCTCAGCCCGCCATCCGTCTATGAGCCTCATCCAGCAACTCGCGTCTCTTCTCCTAATCGAGCGCGTCGTACTGGACATCTGCCGGCCTCGCCCTATCCGCAATCTTCTTCTCAAGCTCCTCCACATGCGCATCAATCTTGGAAAACTGCCACGGCCAGTTGACGACGTACAAGAACGGGCGGAGGTCGTGGCGATTGTCATCGGGGTTGTACGCCGAGAGATGCGGCGAAGGCGTAAGGATGACGGCTTTGTGACGATTCATCGAGTAGAAGCGGAAGAACCTCTTGACGCGCTCGCCAATCTCGCGGGGACCGTAGCCTGGCCTCTCCTTCCAGTCCCCGAGGAGACGGAGGTACGTTGACCAAGGGCCGAGCTTGTGTACTTTTCTCAAGATACCGAATTCGGAGAGTTCGCTGCAAGGGTGGTCAGTGCTTGAAGCCGTGGCTGGAAACGTCTGGTGTCTTTACCTGTAGGTCAGGCCCATCTCGGTGTCTGCCTCATCATCTTGGACTCCGGCAGAGAGGGGAAGAAGCTCGGCTGACGGCGTAGCCTCGAGGAATTCGGACATGATGGGCAAATCCCACTGATCCCTGGCCCAAGCTTGGAAGTTCTTGGCGTCCGTCTTGGAGATACTTCCTAATGGCGCGATATCTGCGGACGATGCGTCGCTGGTATTGGTAAGCTCAATATGCCTTGTGCACATGCGCGTGGGGTTCGAGACTCACTATTTGGTGTAGTAGCCACGCAGGTTCTCGTCGACATTGCCACTTCCCAAGACAAGAAGCGCTGCGCCGGCTCTTGGGAGTTGTCTTGCAGTCGTTGATAGCTGTGCCAGCTCGTACTGAACAACAAGGCGGTTTCTCGCCTGGATGTTTTGGCGTGCAAGCTAGATCCACTGTTAGAACCTCGGACATCTTCACACCCATCTTGCGGGGAGGCTACTCACGTTTTCAGCGGGACTACCACCTTCGACACCGTACCGGGGTTTAAATTCAAGTGTCTTCTCGATAATAGCCTCGTGAGCTTGAACCGCTTCATCGATTGAGATATCAGAGTGATGAGCCCCGAGTACCTCTGCGAGGCGGCGGGCTCTTGTCCGAGTATCATCTCCAGAATTGACAGTTCCCATGTAGCACGAGTGCAGCAAGCGCGATACAACTTCCTGTGGTGTCTCAGGCATGAACGTCTTGTCACCAGTGATGCGTCTCAAATCATCCAACGTCGACATCTCCCCGGCCTCAATGGACTGAAGCACGAGTTTAGCCATGCTGTAGACGAAGAGCGCGACCGTCGAGGAGTCCAGACCTCCACTCAAGGCGAGGAAGTAGCCAGGGGAGTTTGTGCGGCAGAGGTACTGCCAGAGGAAGACCGCTTGCGCCAGGGCAATTTCTTCCATGGGGTCGAGGATCTTAAGCTCGATCTCCTTTGCGATTTGCAGGTGATCTGATAGGTACACTTCGTCGGCGGGTCTCGTCAGTCGCAAATCGCAGTCGACTCTGGGGAAGTCGGGTTGGGCAGCAGCCTGCACGTTTCGAGAGATGCTGGAGCGGTAACTTCTGACTTCTTCCACAGAAATGGTGGCGGTGATGACTTCAACCGGCTTCAAAGAGAATTGGGAGGATTGTGCAAAGACCTTGCCATTGGCGAGCACCATGCTTGATCCGTCGAACTGGACTTCGAGTCAGCTACTGGAACCTATTGACCAGAATTTGGTGGCCAGTTAGTGAATACATACCAGCATGCGCGCCTCACCATCGACGCCAGTCGCGTTGGCATATACATAGATACCACCAAGTTTCCGCGTTGAATTCGAAATCAGATCGAGACGTGTCTTTAGTTTTCGCAGCTCAGCGTGGCTGGCACTGCTGTTAAGGATGATTTCGGCGCCGTTGAGGCCAAGAAAGGTCGAAGGATTCAGGGGCGAGAACATTTCCTCGCAAGTTTCACAACTCACGGCAGTGTCGAGCGTGCTGAGGATCAAGTCACCAATGGGAACCGTCTTTTGGCCGGTGACCGCGGCGGCCACGGCCTCTAGGTAGTAGGTCTCAACCTCCCGGAGCTTCGTCCATGCCGTGAAGTGCCGTGCTTCACGGTAAAGGCCATCATTGGCCAGACTTTGCTTGGTGGTGTGAGTCCATAGTTTGCCAAAAAGGAGGGTTGAGATGGAAAGCTTACCTTGGGCCTGATGAGATAGATGTGCTTGTATGTGCAGAGAACGCGGCAGTTATAGCGGACGTTGCGATGGCGGCATCCCATACCAAGATCAATCAGCATATCCTTACAGATGGGATCGCTGATGATCTCAGCAAGGACTTCCCAGCTGTGGAGGAAGGTATCACCTGGCGGGCTGTTAGCCCATGCTCATCCCCATAGGTAACTTTTCGCAAAGCTCGCCGGGCTTTGGTTGTGAGTACCTTCAAGGTGATGGTCAAGACAGCCATAGCCAGGAATCTCCAACTCTGGACCGGTTCTGAGCGTAGCGCCCTGAGCCTTGGCGATGCGAATGGACTCCAAAATCCTGTCAAGGTTTCCCTTGAAGTCCAAGGGGACACTAGGCAGGGTCGCCGCCGCGACGGTAACAAATGACATGGCAACGACTGGCGGTAGGCCAAGTGCGGTCCGATGTGAGATGGCGGACCCGGTCTGTAGGTGGGATCCAGAGACGGAGCGCAGGAAAAGTGCGATTGGGTGGTTGCGGACGGTGGTGGCAGCCAAGGGAGAAAGTGATTGGTTGCAGCGAGTGTTGTTCGGGGACAAAGTTCACGTCAAGCAAAGCAAACGCCCGGAGCGGGGTTCCGTGGCAGGAGTTGGGACACTGCACGGCACGGATGTAATGCTCACTTGGCAATAGAGGGGTACGAGGGGCACCAGGTCGGAGTCACTGATGACTAAGATACGATAAGGGAGATGGCGGGGTTCAATGGTTCGGTTGTGATAAGATAAGACTTGTTATCGGTTCAAGCACAGACGCTGGCTCCCCGGCTCTGAACGGCGGGACCCAAGCAGTCAAAGCTCCATCTTTCCAATCCATCTGCTCATGTGTCCCTCCGCTCATCAATCCCTATGCACTTTTTCTCCGCGGTTCCAAGCTCAAGCTTTGAGCAATACGTCCGTCAGAGTTCGTGCGTCGTCTCCAACCATTTATATCCACGCGATACAGTGTTTTCATGTCGCCTGTCGTTTGTATATAAAGGGCGACTCGTCGCTTGGCGATGTTGAGGTTTCGATGTAGTTGTCTGGATTGGGGAAGGTGTCTCATAGTCGAATCCCGAAGGGTCGGCGCATGCTGTCTAGAGCTTAGATACAAAGGCTGGAACCACCATGCTCATCCTGCTTCGACCTGCCGCATGTCCGTTAGTGAAGTTATTACAAGGAGCCAATTTTCTTCACATACAATCTTATTCATCCTTTTCACACCTGCACATCTCAAACGCTGTCCGTATCTTCCTCAAACGGGGAACGCCGGGAGGGCGAGTGAGGTGGCCGGTGATCACTAATGCGGATCGTAGTGGACTGGAACGGGCTGGCGACTATCCGTAAGGTGAAGTACCTAGGTGGAGGAGAGAAAAGGGCCGGGACATCCGTAATTGGTGTTGTGAGCTTGCCGTGCCGCTAGTGCATCTGGTTCATGCTCGCATCATGCTCGGGGTTGTCGACGTCTTCGGGACGGCGGATGGTCCAACTGAATCATCAGCGGAGGGGAATCTTCCATACTCACCGAATCATCCGGGGGTGAGGTCGCGAAGTAGTCAAATAGTGCAGTGCAGTACGTTTGGGTCTTTTCACATTGGCGATGGAATTCAAATTGCTGTTCCGAGCGATATTTGGGCAGTGGCGTAGGACGGCGTTTCTAATCGAACAGGTGACGGGGGCGTACGGAGATGGGCATGGTCTTGCTGAGCGCGCTTGGGATTGTGGGGTCTTCACGACGGGCGGAAGCGAAAGCGGGGAACGAGGAATGCCGGCAGGACGTGGAAACGTGCGATGGAGAGAGCGAGCGAGAAACTGAAAGAGAGACAGAAACGATGCGGGCGTGAGGGTGGACGTGTGAAGCATGCGAGACGAGACGAAATGAGACGCTAAGCTGGCGCGAGAATGTGGAGAACGTGACGACATGCTGCTACTGTACTGTTGCTTCGCCTAGCTGCAGTTGGGGTTGATATACGCGCAATGTATCTGTGACTTTGCCAGAGTTGGCTATTGAGAAAAGCAGGTAAAGAAAGAGAAAAACACGGAGCAGGTCATGGTGGGATGCTCTGGAGAAATGAAATAGAACAACGATGGACAAAAGCTCGAAGCAGGACAGAACACTAAATCAACGCAGACATCGTGCAATCCGTAAATGAGAAGAAATGTTTTCAGAAGTCAGTGGGAATAGAGGATCTGTCGGGATCCGCATGGCTTATATTGAAGGCGGGATCCTCGAGAAGGGGGAGCAAAGGGGCCAAGACGAAGCACGGGGAGGGTGGTGTGAGCTGTGTCACTGTGTCACAGTGAGGAAATGGTCAAACTCTGGCGATTGAGGGCAGGCCGTCGATTCGTTGCTAGCAGAAGCCCCATCGAAGCATATTCACGAAACCAGCAAATCACCTCACTCGTCTCAGATGCCGTCTGTCATCGCCCATCGGCAATGGCTGTCTTGGGTGTCACTAGCGAACCATTTTCCCAATTTACTCTCGAATGCTCTTCTGGTTGCTGCCGTGCTATCTTGGTGTCGGCAGGTTGGGGGGTGATGAATCAGGTGAGGGATGGGCTGTTTTGTGGTACCACCGTATCCATACTGCGTACACTGAACGGCGAGACCCACCACGGGAAACCGGTTCGCTTGGCTCATTTTTGCAGCGACGGGTCGGAGACGGTGGTCTTACTGCTGCTGTGCTCCGTACAAACGCCGAGCTGCGCTTGTGTCCCTGTTCCGCCTGTTCCTGGCCCTGAATGTGTGCCTGCTTTCAAGGCTGGAGATCTTGCGTAGAATCTCTCTTGCGAAAAAGAAGCATCAAGATGATCTCGAGATGCCCTCCTCCCACACATTCCTACACACGCACACACACACACACACTCCCACTCTGCTCCTGATGGCACCCATCTTCATCGCTACATGTAGGTAGGTAGCTTGCTTAGGATGAGACGGGAGAAGTGGGCCCGACCGTCGCTGAACCGTCAGACTGCAGCTTCAAGCTCTCTATTTTGGCCCTTTCCCCAGACTTTTTACCCCAGACTTTGCACTTCGGAGACCGCACTAAAGCCGATCTGTCAGGAAGTCCCCTCGAGTGGTTGTTCGACCTGGGCCGCGCCATGCCCGTTTCGGACAATCAGCCAACCAAAGCAGTCGGACCATCTTGCTCACACTGTCAGGTAATTAGGTACCATTTCCTAGAAGTAAGAGTGAAGGCAATGAGAGAGAAGAAGCAAGCGGAGGGTTTCGATGAAGAGTCAAGGCAAGGCAAAAGAAGATTGCATGTACTTTCCTCAGCATGAAAGTGGTACGTTCCAGGTTAACCTCACATGAGCTCACGGAGGAAGGTATCCAGGGCCACAGAGAGAGGAAAAAGAAGGAGCTCCTGTGGGTTGTGGTTCTCTCTTTCCCTGTCAGCTCAGGTCTGCCCCCTGGTCCCTGCGCTGCGCCTGCTCCCAGCCCGGACCACCCGTCACCTGCCGCCCGTTCCTCGCCGTCCTCCCTCGTAGCAAGTCGCAGGCCTGCGCGCATCTCATGAGCTTCTATGTCACGCGATCGTCTGGCGACGCCATTGATGGGCAGTTACCCCGCCCGGTCTGACGAAACCGTAATGCATCGACAATGGAATGGCTACCACTCCAAGGCCGATGCAGGGAGCTTGCTGCTTCTTTCCTCAGTCAGGTAAGTAAGTACCTAGCGAGGTAGTGAAGTACCTACGGCTTGTTCAGCTCCAGCTCTGGTCCGACAAAACCGACCACTCCCAGGACCCTAAGCACCACTTTTTCGTCTAATACGTACGAGTACACCCCCAAGCCAGTGTACATCTCCATGTATCCTCCCGCGCCTCACTCTGCACATCGTAACATCAGATACCTCTTCTCGATACTTCACTTTTGACGGACCCCTCTCTTTCCCTCGTCTCCCTTCTCCTCTCCTTACCTCAGGCCGCACGCCAGGTCATGCGATCGACCGGATCGACATCCATCTACCTCCGCTCCTGCCCCCTCCCTCTCTGCCCTTCTTAATCCCCTCCTCATCCCACTTCTCCTCCAACCATCCATCTCACAACCACACATCACCTGTTCAACAAAGGTAGCTACCCTTTACCCCTTTCCTTCCTAATCGTCATCCATTGAGAGAAGCACAAGAGCTCCTGTTCCTGGACCTCGGAGCTTGAAGCTTGGAGAAGCTTTTGGGTTGGAGCTGGAGCTTGAGCTCCAGCTTGAATTGGCATCATGGGAAGCTCCCCTAGCTAACATGCCATTCAGATTCCAACACACAACACGATCACCTTTGATCAAACACTTCACACAAAACGACTGCCATCATGACGGAACCGCTCACCAAGGTCGACTCAGCTGTCGAGGGTCTCTCTCAATCACCACCCAAGGAGTCCAAGACTCGCCGCCAATCCTCGGCCGCTGCACCTGGCGTGTACAACATCAAGGACCTTGGTACGTCACTGTCTCAACCCCGCACTTGACTTGACTTTGAACTCGGCTACTTCGGGACACGACTAACAACACAACAGAGGAACAAAAGATTGAGCTTGAGCTCGCACCGGAAACACAACGGACAGGATGGTAAGTTGACATTCATTCAGCACACATGATTAGCTACGTTGCCTACCGTGGACTATGGTGGTTACTGTCGCTACACATTGGATAACACAGGCTGACCCTCAACAGGAAGATCAACACTTCATCATCGCAAGTCGAGGACAAGGAAATCCTCAAGCTGCACCTGTCAAAGCCCCCAGTCAAGAAGATTGACCTGCACTTCCCTCTCGGCATGGAAGTAACAGCACGCAACCTCAAGGGAGTAACAATAAAAGATGCCCTGGACGCCATCCACAAGGCATACAAGAAGAGAGTAAGTACACAACGCCCCGTGTGGTATGACCTTTGCTAACAAGGGTGCTCAGTCTGACGATGAGCTCGACAACCCGTACCTGGCAGGCTTTGAATGGGACAAGGAGGAGTCCTGGACGCGCCTGGTTGTTCACCTTCAGAAGAATCCCGCAATTGAGAAGATCGGCGGCGGCGGCGGTGGCAAGAAGAAGAAGAACAAGAAGAACGAGGGCGAGGAGTAAACTTCCCTGGCTCTGCTTCTTCGGATCATGTCCAATATTTCCTGGTAAAACTGCTTGCTTCGCTTTGGCTCAATAGGCGACTTGGCGCAATGGGATATTGCGATAGATATCGTGGGATGATTGTCAATGGGTAAGGGTCTCTGCTCTGGAGCTTGATGCTTCGAGATGTATAGTTAGGTGGGCTATGAAGTTCACGCTCGATCGAGCGGGGTGTCTGGCGGTGATAGCTTGGGTACCCAGTTCAATTGACGCGTTGGCCTTCCACTTGTCCATCCATTTGAATCTGAGAATAATGAGTGAGTATGAAAATTGTCAAGACCCGAGTTTGGAATGAAAAACGACGCTCAGTCGAGAGAAGTGTGTAGTTCGAGTGAGTGGGTATGAATGACAGTCCATTGCGGCTGGCCTGCAGCTATCGTGACCCACTCTCAGGGGAGCAAGGGTCCTGCACGCCGCAGCTCCGTAGCGGCTTACCGTGGATTCCATGTGAAAGCCCGCAAGCCCGTAAGATCCTGACTGGATAATGATTTGTACCGTGGTAGACTAACGTTGACTTACAGCTTGAATCATTATCAAGAACTCTTCAGACAAAAGATGAGGACAATAATGCTGAAGAACCCATCAAACAATCAGGGAGAGACCCCTCACTTGTTCACGGGGTACGGATGGCGGGGTAATCTCATAGCGCACTAACATGGCAGTGCTATGCTTCACAACTAACGTTGTTACTACGTCAACGTCTCTATATGGGATGCTTTTGAACATGGAAGATGATGGCCAACTCTCACTTGATGTGATATCCTCTCCAGCGAGGATGTGAACCATCCTCGGCAATGCTCAAACCAATTGGCCTCCGATGCAAGCTCTTGAGAATCGCACGATTAAGCGGAACCAACGGCCGGGGGTATCTTCCTTCAAAAGCACACCTGATGGTACCCAAGGTATCCTGAGTAAGCTTGTCGGAAATCGGAATTGAGAGGTCCAAGGTTCATAGGGAGCAGAGCACGGACCCCGGCTAACATCGGCAGACGCCGCGTCTTGCCGCACCTTTCCCTCTCACACAAACGCGGAATATGATACCGGCGCAGACAAGCTGCCCGCCCGGCTTTGCGAGGAATTGGATGGCATTTCACCCAAACGTCATCCAGAAAAGGTCCGCAGGGGAGGAGGCGGGGAGGACGGCAGTGATATTTGAACGTCGTGTATCCTCGAAGGAAACATTGGTGTATCATCGTTTCTTATCTCCTTCATCAATCAGCCTTTTGCGCAAGACCATCAACATCACCAAAGCTTGCGACTTCATCCATCTTAATAGCCTTGCCCTCTCAAACACTCAAACAAAAACCCGTAGCAATGCCCGTCACAACGTTTGATTTCAAGGAGAAGTACCGCTACCAGGTCGGCTTCGACTCACATCTAGAGTACGTTTAGAAACTCACTTTCCCAATTACCCCGTCTTGGTTTACCGTCCATCCCTGTCTCTCCCACAATCTTTCCCCCGGAATATGCTAACATCTCCACCTTCTCCTCCTCCCCAGATCCGAAGCCGTCCCCGACTCCCTTCCCATCGGCCAAAACGCCCCACAAAAGGCCCCCCACGGCCTCTACGCCGAAAAGCTCTCCGGAACCTCCTTCACGGCACCACGCCACGACAGCAAACAAGCCTGGCTCTACCGCATCCTCCCCTCCTGCGCCCACCACCCGTACGCCCCGACAACAGCTCCGTCTCCAGAGACCCGTGCCCTGCCCTCCGCGCTCCAATACATCCCCAATCAGCTCCGTTGGGACCCCTTTGACCATGACGAGTCCAAGGAATGGGACTTTGTCGCCGGCATGCGCCTCGTCGCCGGCGCGGGCGACCCGACTCTGAAGCAAGGCATCGGCATGTACGTCTACGCCGCAGGCCGCAGTATGGACTCCAAGGCGGCATTCTACTCGGCCGACGGCGACCTCCTCATCGTCCCGCAAGAGGGCACCCTCGACATCCGCACAGAACACGGCTGGCTCCTCGTCCGGCCCCTCGAGATCGCCGTCATCCCCCGCGGCGTGAAATACCAGGTTCACCTCCCCTCCGGCCCGGCCCGCGGCTACGCCCTCGAGCTCTACCAGGGCCACTTCACCCTCCCCGAGCTGGGGCCCATCGGCACAAACGGCCTCGCCAACGCGCGCGACTTCCAGGTGCCCGTCGCCTGCTTCGACGAGGACTTTGGCGCGACGGCGCATGAGGGGGAGAACAACTACACCATCACGGTCAAGTTCAACAACGACTACTTTTCCGCAACGCAGCCTCACACGCCCTTTGACGTGGTCGCCTGGCACGGCAACTATTACCCGTACAAATACGACCTGGGCCGCTTCAACACGATCGGCACAATCTCCTACGACCACCCGGACCCCTCCATCTTCACCGTTCTCTCCGCTCCCAGCGGTGTCCCCGGCACCGCCATCGCTGACTTTGTCATCTTCCCCCCGCGCTGGCTCGTCGCCGAAGATACCTTCCGTCCCCCCTACTACCACCGCAACACAATGTCCGAGTTCATGGGCCTCATCACGGGCGGCTACGACGCCAAGCGCGGCGGCAAGGGTGGGTTCGTCCCTGGAGGCGCGAGCCTGCATAATACCATGTCTGGCCACGGCCCGGACGCCGAGAGTGGAGAGGGCGCGAGGAACGCCGAGCTGAAGCCTGCCAAGGTGGGCGAGGGCAGCTGCGCTTTCATGTTTGAGAGCTGTGCCATGGTGGGCGTCACGGAGTGGGGGTTGAGGACGTGTAAGAAGGTGCAGCAGCAGTATGCTGAGGAGAGTTGGGGCGGGGTACCGGTGCATTGGAAGAAGCCTGAAGGGGTTGTTTCTGGCGGGCACTTGTTGAAGTAAGAAAAGGAGATGAAGAGATGAAAAGACGAGGTCTGGGTGGTGTGTTCAAGTTGATATCTGATGAAGCATATGATCATAGGGGCGTAGCTACCTTTATCTACAGTATGAATAGCTCTAAAAGTACGAAGACCCAATAGAACAAGTTCAAAAATTGTCAATGAAGAAAAAAACACCTAGTATTGCATCTTCCGACACCATCGCTTGCCCGCCGTGCTCTGATAAAGAGTCACCCATAATACTATGGCTAGTGTTGCCGGTACACTAGCATTCTGTAAATCGGCTTCGTGGCCCATGATTGACAACCAAAATATCCAAAAGAGCCCCGCTGGCAACAAGAAACAAAGAATGGAGTAAACACAAAAGCCCCATGCATTCGGTAGCTCAAATGAAGATAGCCCGTATGCTACCTCATGGTCCAGATTTCTCGGCTGCCATTCGAGGAGTCGCTTGGGTACCCGTGACAGCAGCTCGGCCATACGATCGCTGTGCTCAGGGACGCATTCTTCGTCAAACTTTCCTGTAGAGGTGTTTGTACAGCTGTGCAAGAGTTTGATTCGAGAGCAGTCAGGCTTGCAATCGTAGCAGTGACTGTAGAATATCGGCTGCGATATTGGAGGAGACTCGTTGGCCAGTCGCTTGAAGTCGTAGTCCAAGTCGTGCGGTGCCTCGGGCAATTCCGTACTACTTGCACAGCCACTTGCGATAGAAATGTAGTTGCCGTTGAAGTGTTCATACTAGATGTGTTCTCAATTAGTATTGGTGTCATGATTGTCTGTGGTTTCAAGCGAGGTGCTCAAGGGACACCGATTGGTAGCTTACTTTATCAAACCCCCAGTGATGGAATCGATGAATAGAAAGATAGGTCTTGAACGCGCTACATCGAGCCCAATACTTCGTTTGCAGGTCGTTCAGGAATTTCAAGTCGGTAGTCGTTGCTTGAATTTCGATATGGTCGTGAGGAAAAGAGACAGCTTTGATGACGACAAAGCGGCCCTTCACTCGGGTGCCTGGTTCTTGCTCTTCGGGGTTTGGTTTCTCGTCATCTGAAGGTTTCCCCTCTGCGTCCTGGGATTTCGAAGTCTTCTCTGTGATTAAAGCCGGTGCCAATCTTGGGGGCTCGGGAACATATCGTCTACGAGGATTGCTGAGAGGTGTATCTAAGCCGCGTTGGCGATTCGAACTTTGGCCTCTGCTGCCGGAAGCTGGCCTCCGTAAGGGCGCGTTACCTCCATGTTCTGGGGGTCTCGTGAGTATATTTTCGCCAAAGTCAAGGCTGCAGACTGTCCCCGGAGAAATGACCCATTGATTATTGCTAGGACAGAAATTCCGACCTGTGGTTTCCGAAGCAACTTGACTTAGCATTGACAGAAAATCCACCAAAGCGAGAATCTCGACGCCCAACTGGGAGGGTATTCTATCTCTGTGCTCTTTGCCGTTGCACTAGACTCTGATTCAGCGCCGACAGAATGCTTACTTGATAGTGAGCTACTCACATTGAAGCACTTCCAGCAAATCCAAGCTTCATCTGGGTTCAGCTGGGGCAAAGGTGGCCTTAAAGGCCACCAGCCCCATGTAGTTTCTGTGAGGTCTTCCCAACCTCTTTGAAGAAGTTCCAGACATGTAAGACTTCGATCTGCTTCGATCCTAATGCTGCTTTGGTTCATTATGTGCCTAGACCTTAGATAGGCTACGGCTGCAGTGTAGCAAAGGGGAACATCTCCACACATGAGATAGTGGTGGTACACTTCACTGGGAATAGGTGAGAGCTCGATGCCCTCATGGCAAAACCTACGGTAAAACCTGAGCAGGACGCCCACTGTGTCAATGCTACCGCTCTTGAGTGCGTTCTTCCAGGTTGCGGTGTCTGGGTCGGCTCCAGACACAAGAAGTTGTTGAATCCAAGCAGCATTGCCTTGTAGGGCGACAACATCCGCGGCAGTCTCCCCAAGTTGATTCCTTTCATTGACGGGACATCCGAAGGAAATGAGATCCTGAGAGATCTCATTTTCGCCTCTCTTCGCTGCAAGGTGAAGACAAGTGTTCCCATGCTCGTCTTTCTGGCTGATTTGTGCCCCTCGATCGAGCAAGGTCTCAAGAGCGTGAAGTTTCTCGCTCTCACGGGAAGGTCTGTCCCAGTGCCCAGAGTCATTTAAGACAAGGTGGATCGCGTGGCTTCCGTTTCTTCCGGCATCTGGAGAGATACCGATGTTGAGAAAAGACTTGATGTTTTCTAAGGAGCACGCCTCGCATGCGTCGAGGAATGCATCCTCGGCTGTGAATGCGGGGAGAAGTAATAGTTTGATGGCGACTGGTTGACTCAAGTGTCCGAACGATTCAGGAATCAGACTTTTTGACTTTTCCACAGGCAGGAGAGATCTATTGTGATCCAAGAGAACCTTCACTATCTCGGTGTAACCACAATCTGCCGCCAGAAGAAGTGCTGAGTGCCTTTGGTGGTCGTTGTGGACTTCCAACCCTTGTTTCAGCAAAAATTGAACAGCTCCAAAAGCACCAGTACTGGCGGCAAGACTCAAGTAGTCGTAGTCTTCGAAGCTAACGCTAGAGGAGCTGAGAACCTCTATCATCTCCATGTCATTTTGGCTCACAGCAAGTGCCAACGGTGTAATCATGTCACGCCACTTGCAAGGTTTTGAACCCATAGTCCTATATGTATGCTTCGATTCGTCATCTGGTAATTGCCAGCGGGAGTTGACAGAGGCTCCATGAGCTAAGAGCAACGAAACCAACCGCGACTGGCCGAACCGTATTGCAGTCGCCAGAGGAGAGCTCGCTCCTTGAGACAGAATTGAGAGCGATGCAGAGACTTTTGCTGTTGGCCGAGCAAACGCCATGGTGATATCCTGAGCAATGATAGTATGGCCTCGCTCGATTGCGTGCGTTAGCGCACGGGAAGAATGGACAGGATGCGCAGCAAAGTCGATCTGCTGCCGCAAAAGAAGCTGGACCACGGACTCGTGCCCGCTCCACGATGCGGCCATGAGTGGCGTCCATTCTTCGCCCTTGGGGGTACACTCATCGGCTTTCATGGACTTATGCCGGAGAAGGCTTGCGACCTCATTTGTTTTCCCAAGAAAAGAAAGCACGATACCTTCTGTTGGGTATGTCGGAAACCTGCGCAATTCCCAAGGTTCAGTCGACTGATTCTCCCACCAAGGCCTGAACCACTTCTGCAATAGGAGGGACCTCGGACTACATAAGTTGTGAACAATCTCGTCGGGGTACTCTTGGTGTTGAGCCGAAGCCTTCTCGTGGGAGCTCCAATGCGTCGCGGCATAGGTATACAAGGGAAACGCAACTTCAGTGTCAAGCATTGAATGGCGTTTGGGAACCTCGTCTGATGACCTATCTGACCGACTCAACTTTCTTAAGTATGCCAGACATATTACAGCAATGCGAGTGTTGACATCAAGATCGGTTCTGCGAGAAACCTGTCGTAGGAGAACGCTGCCGGTAGCGGTCTGACTTGTAGACGACATGAAGTCCTTGACTGATCGATGAATGAGATGAACCGTCGAGCCTTTCACCTCTATGAGAGGGACTTGAGAGAAACAGAATCCGATCGATCTGGGGCGAAATTTGCAGCGAAGGTCTAGGAAGCTTGGTGTGTGGACTGAGGTTGGGAAATCATGTTGATAGCCACGTTCCGTCTCGAATGCAACAGCCGCAGCGAGTTCCTCGACTCGTAGAGGCCTTTGAGCAAATACAACCCAATCCAGACATCTCAGAATGTATGATTTCTCATCAGCCTTCTTCTCATTGACTGAAGAAAGAATGGATGAGTACATGTCGTTCAGGTTTGTCGGATGCTTTTCCAATTGACTCAACAAATTCTCGCTGGTTTGCACTTCCAGAGCCAGCAAGGACTTCAAGACAAGTTTGACCCAAAGGAATACCCCGTCAGATCTCTCAACAATTCTAGAAGCAATGTCTTTACGCCTTTCGACTTCGTCATTGGATCCGAGGAGAGGAAACGTTGACTTGACGACTGCTTGGAAATCCTTTGCTAGGCTAGATGCAGCCTCCCCGGCAGAAAGGCTGAGATGCTGGACATGGTGGTTCTCGTGATTGCTTACTTGTACCGAGAGAAATGGCCGAGAAGAAAAGAGAATCTTTAGTTTTGGAGAAGACGTACGACAAGCACAATTGGCGTGAACAGCGCAGGGCGATCTCCAGGAGTCCTCTGCGGGAGCGACGAGGTGGTCTGCCAATGCATCAAGGAGATTGGTGCGTACAACAACGTCGCACTCGTCGAGCGCATCTATTACGCAGACGATACTTCTGTGCTTTGAGATTTCCCTCAAAGCTGTAACCAGACTGAAATCCGTGCCAGTGGACCATTGGTGTTTTCTCTTGACTACGGGGGTGAGGTAGCGAAGAAGAGACGGTTGACCACTAAGAACTTGGTGAAGAAGAGAGCGTAAGATACTCTCAGAGGACTTTGGGGGGGCTGAGAAATCGCAAAAGAAATTTGCCACAGCAAAGGAACGTCGGGCCACCGCAAGAGGCTCATACGGCATGTCGTCGGCAACAGTGCAGAGATAGTTCGAAACATATCTTAGCAACGTCGATTTGCCACTGCCTGGCTTTCCTGTCAACCACATTGTCGCGCTTGTGTCGGCTAACAGCCAGGATTTGAAAGAAGAATTCGACCAAATCCACTGGCAGGTGCCCTCGACTGGATCTTGAATGAGATTTTCTCTTGATTTGAGACCGGAGGGGTACAATTGTCGAAGCCATTTGAGGTCTTGAAACTCGAGACTGTATCGGATAGGATCTGGCGATCGTATGAGCTGGAGGTCCTCACTGTGATCAAATAACCAATCATAGCTTACAAGCCAATGATGCTTCACTTACCTGACTGCGCGATCCATCCCAAAAGCCACGCTAACTTATTGCGGAAGATGCAATAATTTGGATCAGTCGAACCTTCAAAGGCCCAGAAGTCTTGCTGTGACGAAGGCAAAGCGATTATTGCTTCTTGTTCTTGGGGTAGACCGAGAGTGGCACTGTGACCGGGTACGGCCTTTCCTAAGTTGTTAGCTAATGTGCCACGACGATAGTCCCGGAATCTTGGTTGATTTATGCTTTAAATTGAAGTGACTACAAAAAGAGTTGAACTTACCAAAGATGGTATTTTTCCATAAAACGAGAGAAACCTGAGCCGGCGGGAGTATCTAGAGAGCCATTCATCGTGGAATCTCTCGGCGGAGAGGAGCGCCGAGAAAGATGATGATGTTCTCACGAAGTAGGGGGCTTTACGGGAAGTTTTGGGCTGGCAGGAGTCCGAAATCCATAGCTGTGACGCGAAGTCCGATACGAGGGTTTCTAAGCTTGCGTCGAGCGATCTTGCCCTGTGAGGTGTCCCAAAGAAGGCGATCCCTTTCGTAGCCCTTCTAATCGTCTTAAACCTCGAATCTAACGCTGCGCGCAGCAAGGCATTCTTGACAAGTATTCCACCCACACCGTGTGCGATAAAGATGATAGGCCGCAGAGGGTCTCTCTTCCTCAGCTTGACAGCATGTTGTAGGAGATGTAAGGTAACAACTTGCAGTCTGCTCTCTGTGAAACCAGACCGAAAAGCCGAATGAGGATTATAGTCGAAGAAGAGTATTCTCGAATGCGGGAAGTCTGAAGGTAGAAGGTCATCGACGAAGGCTTTGGTAAGGTGGTCCCGGTTGCCCAAACCAGTCAACGACTTTCGGGCTGAATATTGTCCAGGAACGACGATAATGCTAGAAGCGGATCAGGAACACTTTCTTACATCCAGTCACTTCATGATGACAGAGATACTCACTCTACCTTCTCCACTACCGGAGACACAATTCGCAGATCAGGAGAACTATTCAAGTCGGGATAGGTCTGAAGCAGAGACTAGACGAAAACTTTCAGTCCTCGTGCTTACGCATAGACGATTGTGTGGAGGAGAAACTTTTGAGACTCACCATGAGTTCGAGGCGTGTCTAAGGCCTCTGGCGCAGAAAGCTCGCAGACGGGGTGGGAACGATCGAAAATGGTGTCAAACGAGACACAAAAAAGAGCAGTTTTGGCCCGTTTCCAATTCCTTTTGGAATCGCGTGTTTCTCCTTACGAAGAGAAGCTCGAACATGATATTGAAGATCCCTCTAGACTTCGTTGGCACACCAGGGGTAATGAAGGAAAGGAAGTCAAGAAAAAAGAGAGAGAGAGAGAGAGAGAGAGAGAGGAACCTTCAGACTCTCCACTTCGAGTACCGCTCCGCATGGTCAGAGGCCGCCTTCCAAGGCAAGCCTCTGGGGCCAAAGTGTATAAAGTCGGATGCTTCATGTCGTCATGTGGGCTATGCATCGTAGTCTTGGAGAGAAGACAGCCCAATAGGCGGAGCGCGCTGCATGGCTACAAGACGTCTTTTACTCCTGCCTGATGTCCCCTTTTTCAGTTGATCGGCATTTAGTAGGTACTGGAACGGGGAAAGGTCGCTCATACCATTTGTGGCTGCCGCGCATGTGGGCTGAACTTGACTTAGCAGGCACAACGGGCAACGTTGTTGCGCTGTACGGTGTGGTAGCGCCACCTCAACTCTGCCTCTTCCTACTTCTGCGTTCACATCCCTCATTTGTTCCCTCGACACCGAGAAAGTCGCTGACTAGACAAGCTGTGCCAGTAAGGGGTTGCTGAACTCCATGTCTCAGAACGCCTCGACCTACCCGACGCCAGCTAGGCGGGGCTGAGCGGGGGACGCATGCCGCAGAACAACACCATCAAATCAAACCTTTGCAGTGCGGGGCGCCATAGCCGCCCAGTTGAGGCAATTGCAACGTCCAGATAAACCCGTGCAGTCTTCTGCTGCGGGATATGTGTTCCTACGGTTCCATCTGAGTTGCCAATTTAAGCAAGCATATCCAGGTACATAAGCTAAGAGTGGTGCCAACGCATATGCTGGGCTAGGAATATGTTCTCTCGCAAAGGCCATGAAAGCCGTGGCCGTGTTGGTGGGCCTTACTTAGCACCTTCAATTGCAGAGATCTCCGCTTTCCAGGCGGAATTTGATAGTGTATTATTGAATTAGCCTCACTCCCCTCTCGAATTGTCCTGTAGAGAGCTTCTGGTTCGAATTGTTTGTATCTACGAACAGTACCGCAATCATGAATCCGTGATGCAAGTCCGTACTTGATTCATCGTCACCATCTTGGAGCCCAACGCGAGTGCTCGGACTGGAGAGAGGCCTCCCTACCCCATCTCGACATCATCGTAATCATGCAACACTTCCGTGATCTAGCTCTTCAAGTCCTCGCAAAGTTCCACGTGCGTCTATCCCTTCTTCGTCTTGCCACTGGACGTAGGCACTGGCTCCTCGACCCCATCAGCATCGCCCTTCACGTTATCTCCCGACGCCGATACATCTGTCCTCCGTGGGACAATAGTGACCAGCATAGGCCACCATGGGCTAGACCCATGATACGTATCCCACGTAACTAAATTTGCCTCATCGAGAGCCTTGCTTAAACACACCAATAGTCCTTCCTCCATAGGCCAGCCATGGTTCGCATGGCAAACAAGATTCGTGATGCGAAAGCTCGCAAGCGGAGCGAGATCGCGCGCCCCGACCTCAATACGCGCCGCCCATCCGCCACACGAGTTGCCAGACAAGATGTACTGACGGGTGTGGACCCAGCCTCTGCCTTGAAGAAGTTCGGGGCGCTTTCGGGGCGTGATACCGCCGGATTGCAGTTGAATATCGTCTTCCGAAATGATGATACCTTGTTTTAACACTTGCTTGATATCTTTTGTTTTGATCAAAAGTGCAGCCTCCCAATCATTCTTCGAAGGATCCATGTTTTCTGGATTGGAGGAGTAAGTGTACACCATGTAATCACCATTTTCGAGAGTGATCTTTGTGGTGATCTTGCGCGGCTGGCAGCTTAAGATGGCGCCCATAGTGATGGAGAAGAGCGAGTCTATTGTAGTGGTTTCGTTGGACTGCAATTCTTGGATTGTGTTGATTTGAGACAGATGTATCGAGTTGATGTAGATGAAAGGTGCGAAGTCAAGCGTCGAAGATTAAAGAAAGAGGCAGAAAGGGTCGGAACTCGGGCCCTACCTTCCCATGGGGGAGGGGAGGTGCGCATGGCAGAGGCCGTCCTTCCTGCTTGCTAGATATTGCTTAATTAGGTAATAGCCCCTCCCCCCCGGTAGGATACCACTTCGTGTACACAATGCAATATTCATGATGACTTGACGGCAAGTGCGCCCCTTCCTCTTCTATCTCAGCCTGTTATGCTTGCAGAGCGGCCTTTCTTGGATAGAGTAGCGATTCCAACAGAGATCTCAAAGACTAGAGGAAGCCCATCACTAGCGATCAAAGAGAGAAGAAGGGGAACTTTGGCATACGTAGGGACAACTGGCGACACGAAGGACTACTAAACCAGCAGACTGGCCCCTTAAGGGCACAACTTCCATGAAGCAGCAGAATAGGCCCTTGTCCAGAATACCACCTTTGCCGGCAAGGTTTGTTGTAGTCTTGAGAGAAACTTGCAAAGCCACGCAAAAATGAGAGTTTGGTTGACTTGACAAGGCCGGCTGACCATAGTCCTTACAGGCGTGTCCCTCGGTATCAAAGTGGTCGCGTATATAGGAGCCTGCCTAACATGAAGGTGTTTTGTTTCTTTTCGTCGTCCTGACTAAGGCGGTAATACACTTTTGGGGAATCTTGTTTCCTATGTCCTCCACACATTTATTAATCAGGCACTGCTCACTGGACCTGAAGCAGCCATCCATCGCCCTCCTTGCCCAGCGCACTGACGCCGCCCCAGAAGACGAGACTCTTTCCATCCGCTGCGTCTGCGCCAAAGTATCCACGTGGTCCGGGGTGCGCCTTTCCCTCCGTCTTGACTTCCTCTGTCGGAATGAGCTCCACCTCTGCCCAGCTGAACTCGCCAGAATCAACACGAGGCAGCTTGTCACGGATCGCATCCTTCACAGCGGCCGCACTGAAGCCGTGAGTAGGAAGTTGAAGGGCCCAAATATCAGTGTAGAAGTCCTTTTCGGCTGAAGTGCTGTTCGTGCCAAACATATAGACGAGGTAGTGTCTGCCAAGACCAGTGTCTACTGGCACGAGTGCGCCGCCTTCGCGTGGGCGGGGACCCGGAGTGAGTGGGTTGGTAGGGAAGTTGATGGTCTTCCATTGAAGAGCGTCGGGCTTCTCGCGGTCCTCGGCGTTTGACTTGAGGTCCATGTAGTGGATAGCACCGCTCATGTTAGAGTCAGCCCCGATGGTATAAAGAACATTATCCACGAACGCGGCCGCGAGAGGAGGCTGAGGAGAAGGCGGCAACGCTGTCCAGGCGAGAGTGTCAAAGTTGTACATCCACGTCTCGGTAGATGCCTCCTGTCCTGGTGCAGTCCGTCCTCCGTGAAGAACCAGGAAGTCCTGGGTCTGCTCGACAAAGACGTGGTGGTCGAATCTCGGGGTGATGGTCTTGCCAATCTGGCTTGCTCCTTGGATCTTGGTCCACTTCAAGCTCTCAGAGTCCCATAGCCAGAGACATGTCTCGTCGATGGGCTTTCCGCTAGCATCAGCACCGCCATTGACGATCACGAATTGGCCGCGGGCTGCCGCCGCATGTCTTGAACGCGGGGAAGGGACGTAGGTCTTGCCAGTCTCTGCGTCCTGCATCGCGAATGCTGGGTAGCAGGCATAGGCTGCAACTGGCTCACCCTTGGTCATGGCCGGTAAAGAGAGGACATGAAAGTCGGTAGAAGCCAGCTCGCCCTTTGCTGTCTCGCCACCGAAGATGCATGCCTTGTGATTGACGACAGTGACTGAGTGATGGGAGCGTGCAAGAGCGCTGTTCAGATGTTAGAGTCAAACCCCTGGAAAAAAGGGATCTGACTTACGACGTGTCGAAAGCGGGGGACTGGGTGGTGGCGACCTGGGACAGTGACACCTTCAAAGGCTGGGTTGGGCGTGCCACGGCGACGGCCGCTCCAGCCTCGATGCCGGTGGAAACGACCTGCTCGGCTACGACAGCGCCTGCCGCGATTTCTGCCATGGTGATTGTGGTGTTTGCTTGGCGTCGGGAGATAGAGACGTTGGTTTTAAGGTAATCGGGGGCAGGAAATGAGCAGCAATAGCTTGGTAGCTTGTTTCCTATAATATGGTCTCGCAAGTGGTATGTTGAGGTGTGTTGTATGAGGGAGAAGGTATCATGAAGTGCCGCGCTCAACAAATCTGACAGTTGAGGCTGGATTGGTGGTGCTGCAGCAATATCCACTGCGAGGTGATTGTCAGGAACAACTGGGGAACGTTGAATGACGTAGCTACCTTACTTGGGGTCCCTGCCTTCTGCGTACGGTATGACGTCACGTGTTCGCGTCTGATCGTACCTTCCGTTTTTAAATTGGGCTCTCGAAATTGACCGACATATAGAATCAACACGAAATTGATGCAGGGACGAACAGAATGTCTCAGGCATGGAGAAAGGACGAACATGGAGGACTTTCCCGCTCCGGCCCGACGCGTCCTATTCCTGCGAGTCAGTTGCCCAACTGGCAGGAGCCAGACGACCTTCATTCAAATGAGAAGGAGTTCGCAAACTGATGGATGAGTCCGATGGAATGAGTTTAATGGCGTACGAAACAATGCATACATGAATCCTGGCGGAAGCAGCTCTCAAGCGAGACGCATGACACCTCAGCTTCCCGGCGCCGGCTCCCGAAGGCCACTTCGGCGAAGTGGAGCCTGGCGGCTTTGGTAACCGGACCCGTAATTCCGGGCCTTTCAACCCGCCCCACGAAATCAATGCCGAAGCACCCAATTGTTCTCAGCAGACGGGAACCACCAGATATGTCACCAGCAGACAATCAGGAGTTGTAGCACTGTACTCCGCCCCAAGCACCGTTCCTGTGTGGAAATACTCGTCATATAACGGACAATACTGCAAGACCGTCGCATGGAAGTACCCCTGCGTGCATGCCAACTCCTTGAATCCACCAACATATCGCCCCGACGGACGCTGCATCGTGCAATAGACATAGTCGAATCCGGCGTCCTCGCCATTATGACCTCTGCGCGCCTGGATCCATCCACGGGGCAGGATGTGCATCAGCTCGAAGTCATTATAGTCATCGCTGGCGAAGAAGTGATCGCCGTAGGATGTTTGCGTGACGATGCGGCCTTTGCTATCGAGGATGAAGATGCTGGCGGTGCCCTTGTCCGGAGTATACTGCGGCTCGAACAATACGCCGTTCTCTGTGAACAATTCGAACTGCGGGTTCGCGAGCACGTATTTGCTGTTGTACACTGGTACCGGTGTTGGGACCGGCGCAACGGTTGCTAGGAGGTAGAAAGAAGGGTCGCTGGCTGAAGGGGTGCATTTGATCTTTCGTGTTTGGGTCGCAATTTCCGCTTGCTGGAATATCCCGAAGTCAATGTCAGAAACGATCATAAGGCAACAATGCCGGGGACTCTGCGATTCGCGACTTACTGTGACAGTGCTAGTCAGAAATGACACTTCGGTTGTGATAATCGGATAGTATTCGACATTGGTGTACGTAACGAACGAAGTTGTTACCTAGTGATCAGACTCTCGTCAACGCTGGTCTTGTCAACAGGCCTCAGGGAGGACTGCCGGCATAAGAAACCTACGACCCATGAGATCTCAGTCTCAACACTCTTAATGGTTTTGCGACTATCCTTGGTGATTGGCCCTGGACATATGTAAAGACACGAGCAGGCGCTCTTCTGAACCGCAGGCGGGCACTGTGAAGTAACTGCTCTGTCTTCAAGGTGATTGATGGCTTTTCGCCGTTTCTTCGGCTTTGCTGTAGTGACTTCGAATCGCCTACAATAGTCAGTCAAAAGCACACACCTCATTGTCATCCATATGGTCTACTCGACTATCCATGTTGGCCTCACGGTCTCAGTTGCTATGTAACTATAGGTTGACTCCTGTAACAACGGAAATCGTGTTAGGTTCTTGAGGTTCTTGACGGAGCAACGTGGAACATGACAGTGCATACCGTGTAAGAGAACGTGGATGTCGTAGTTGTTTCAGTGCCCTATCAATGACGATCATACGTCAGTTAGATACCTAACGTATAGTTTACGCTACCTACTATTTCTTCAAGAGTGTAAGTAGACGTTTGCGTTTTGGTTGTTGTCGTTGAGACGGTGCCAACTAGAGTCGTGGTTGTCGGTAGCGGGCATTCCAAGACCGAAGAACAAAATTTCGACACGGATGCTGTGCGGCTGATGAGTGATGTGATTGAGGATACGCATGAGGCAACGGCAGGAACTGCGGTGCAAGACGATGCTGACTGCACATACACGATTGGAACCGCCCTCAGTAGCAGTAGAAGTACTGCACCTGCGACGCTCGGAAGTCTCATCATTTGAAGAAGGAACCGACGTATGGTTGTGTTCTTTGGATACTACTCAAGAATTTCGCTTGTGGAAGAGCCGATTTGTATGATATCCGACTTGGAAAACCCTTTTACTACATGTTGTCAATTCTGAATTACCCTTCCATGTTCCTACTTCCAGCCTACCGCCACAATCGTTGGCTCAACGCCACACCATTAAGATTTGACGGTCGAGTAACATTAGTCTCCTGCATATCGATGTATGTGTAGTAATGTACATCACGCACCAGGTCAGCCGCAGCCTAGCGTCGGGGATAAATATCTTGAGGCTAGCAATTGATTTCAAGGGAGAATTAACTGTTGTTAGTGCGCCTTCGATAAGACAGATGCCTACGGCCTTGACGATAGCTCTTTTGATGTCACGAATTCTCATCTCTGAAACCTAGAACACCCTTCCTACATAACAGAGGTAACACGGAAGCCTGTTCTCCTCTAGGGACAGTCACGTTCAGGCCAAGTTGTGGCTTTTATTCGATCACCACGCTCCATGCGTGGAAAGAATATTCAAAATCTAGCTGTCGATTTTACGGCATATTTTGTGCTGGGTATTCGTCGTTCTTCAACTCAAGACTCGTTCAAGTTCCCAATGCTTGACAGATTGGATCAGGTGTTGATACCGCAAACTGACTTTAGGCAAGTCAGAAAAATCACGTCGCAGTAGTTGAATGAAGTCGGGTGTACTCACAGATCTACGAGCTCTGAAGTCCGTGTAGAAGCTAAGCCATAGCTCTCGTGCAGTACAATCCTCATTCCCATCTTTGACCACGCAGTCGGGTTGCCTCTCCTTGATCAGACTATCGGAGGATTTCAACCAGGGTTTGTGCATAGGCCAGTCAGAGAAGTGAAGATATTTAGCTTCATTGTAGACAGTTACCGCATCCCAAACTTCGTTGCCGTTTCCGAGATAGTAGTCTTGATGATCGCCGCCAAAGGAGCGAGTCAACAGCGCATACGGTCGGTGAGGGAGAATCATGGCGCTGTCTTTGTACAGGTCGTTGATGATTTCCATGTCATACTCTTCTTTTCCGGCATGATCCACCTTTTCCACTATCCGGGAAAACTCAGCAACGCTGGGCTGCACGAGCATAATGTGTGAAGCAACTATCTTCTTCTCAGGGTAGAGCCAGTAGGCCCGCGGGACGGCGACCGTAGCGGGCGGCGATAGGAATAGCTCATCGATATTCTGTAGCAGTGTGGAATCAGAGTCAATAGAAAGGACTCGGTTATACTGGGTTTGATTGAAGGCTAGGAGCTTGGTGAAAGATTCGGCCCAAGTAGCTATTGTAGTTGACCAATTAGTGCATCATAGACCCAACCAGTGGGGCGCTACTAAGAGACTCAACTCACGATCTGAGCCTTTCCTATGTTGAACAGTGATGGGAATTAGTTTTACACCATAGGTATCCCTCGCATGAATGAGCAGGGAAGCATCTTCGGTATTTCCAGTTGTCGCCAGGGGATCTAGCATCTCGGAAGGGTACAGCAAGATGCGATCAGCTTTGCTTTGCAAGTGCTGTAACCTCTCAAACACCATAACCGAATTGCAGAGATATGGTGTGTTGGTGGCATACTGCACATAGGCGAACCGGGACCAGTCTACGTCTGTATGGCTCTTCGCGCCCTCGACTTGGCTCAACGCCGCCTGGGATGATGACGAGGTCGGGTGTCGGAATTTCGAAACCTGAACAGAGTTGTCGAGAACAAAGACCACCAAGAGCGCTCCAATGACTGTCCCCACCAGCCAGCGAAAGCGCTTCGAGGCTATAACCTCGGAAAGACTTGGCCGTTCTGTACGGGAGGACGGATCGCTTTCAACCGCATCGTAGTCTAGGCCCTTGTTGCGGTGCCATGATGGAAAGAGACTTTGGACAGCCATTGAGAAAGTAGATGTAGCGAGGAGGGAAGTGGGCGAGCAGAGCGGCCAGGCACAAAATGTTTTTTCATAGCTGTCAGGTTATGCCACCTAACTCTATAAGACGGATCTTTGTGGATACGATCGATCTAACTTTGGCCTAGGACGCCCAGGAGATTGCTAGACAAGCTTACGGTGCCGTTGTGAACCCTGTCGTGTAATAACAAGAGTGGATTCGCACTTCCAACAGGCGCTTAGCTTCAAACGCAAACTACTTACCAAAAGGCTTCTTGCCGGTGGGCGCACTTTCTTGCAGCCAGATCTCTCGAAAAAGTGAGGATGTCTAGAATGGAAGAAAGAAAGAAATAGAGAAAATCAAGAATGAATGGATCTAGTAGTCCAGAATATCTAGAGAGAACTGTGAATTCTCAAATGTCATGGTTGTTGGGAATACATGCTTTGACCGAACGAAGCTGAAGCCCGGTTGATCCACAGTCTGGGCAGAATTCTCAGCTGCGAAGACGTAGAAGAAATCCCAACTGCCGACTCCTCGATTCAGTCCCTATTAGCAGCTCATGTCCTCTTGAATATAGATAGAAAATCTCCTGAAACTAAAACAAGCGTGGAAAATGCACTGTCACCCTGTGACCAAACTAAAGCGCACACTTTAGACCAAGCACTACCTCGATCCGATCCTCCTCCCATATTTCTACTACCTCTTCTATACAACCTCTTTTTCATAACTAAAATAAAACCATAGAAAAATATTCAAGCCTTTTATTTGATCTAGAGTATTTTTGATACATTTATTTATTATAAAAGTAGTGATAAAAGTACTGGTTAATATGGATGCTTATTAGGTGTGCGCTTTTTTCTGGTCACAGGGTGACTCTTTACCGCTTGATGCCAGATAGGTAGAGATGATTGTTCGAGCAACCGACGAATCGCCGCAATTCTGCCTATGAATGCCCAAGGCCGATTTTTCATTGCTGACCTCTGTCATTTCCCCCCCCTTTTTCTTCTACATCTCGCACCCTTGGCATCCTAGATTCTTTGTCTACGTCTTAGGTTCTGAGATCCCCTGCTGGTTTTTGTTTTGCGAAGCTGTTTCTCTGAATCGCTGAGCCATAGCTTCTAGCTTCGACAATGCCCATCAACTCACCGCTTGGTCTCCCAGTAATCATCGTTTCTTCTCCAATGTCCAGATTCTTTCAGCGTGAGGCCGGCTTCCTTCTCAAGTGGCATGATCTCCTTCGACCTTCCGACTAGACGTTCAGTAGCAAGTCATCAAAACTATTGTCGGCGGGAAGTCGAACATGGCTCTTTGTCCGGAACAAACTCCCATTCTATAAGAAATGAATTCAAACCTTATAGTCTCAAAATTTCCCTCTGAACCAATCGCACACAAGCTAGCACATATCTGAGTACATAACAGCATTTGACGTTCGGAATAGTACCAGCTCAAAGTCTTGGATAACGAAATGCGAACCGTACTGTCACCTCATAATCGAACCCCCCGTCAATTCACAGACTCTACCCCTTCCCTGGTTTCTTAGTGGAACTAGTATACATAATCTGGGACAATGTTCTAGCGTATTATGGGGAGTGTAGGTATTAGATTCATCGATGGCTTAACCAGGCTTCAGACCTGAGTAGGTCGTCGCCAAGTCTGGCTTAGATTATGGGGGTAAAGACCACCACCTCTAGCAGGAGTAGCAACCTCTTCTCCTCGGCCCATATAAGCGGCTCAATTGTAGTAATACTGAGAATATATGACGTACTCAATTCGCCGATTTCTCGTCATTCAATTTAATCAGGACACTTCAACACTGCTGCTTATCGGACGGACTATTCACTTCACACACCTCTTCCAACAGGCAAATGTCGGTTCCGGATGATTCGACTCGGGCTAATTCCACGGGCTGATTAATTGCGACAGCCGTCTTTTCCTGAAATAAATCCCGCATAGCTCATAAATGATATCCCTTCTCAACCAACTATCATCAAAGAGCAAGTCTCCTCTTTTTTCTCACCGGCCACAATTTCTAAGATGATGCTGGAAGCGCCCATCGACACTCGGGTTTCGGCCCCAATGCAGCTTATTGTCGTTATCGCCAGCTATGTTATCTGGGTCTCCTTACTCATTTACGGACTTTTTCTCCGGAAGAAGGAGAGTACGTGGTTTTATGTCACTATTGCGCTTGCCGCGGGTCTCGGTGGTATATTTGAGCCGATCTACGACAATGCGCTGATGCTCTACTTCTACGGCCCCGGCCAGTGGACAGCTTTCACCTCGATGGGCGTACCGCAGCCCGTATGGGTTTATAGCGGCTATGCGACTCTCTACGGCACCGTCTCTGTCTTTCTCAATCGCCAAATCACTAGCGGCATCACACGTCGATGTTTCTTTCGATACGCCGCCATAGAGCTCGCCAGCTCATGTCTCTTCGAGATAGTCGTTATCAACGGTGGTGTGTACGAGTATTGGGGTCCCCATGTGCTTCGCATCTTCAAATATCCCATCGTTATTGGCATTCTAGAGACCGTCCAGGTCATGTTTTACAGTGTCGCCGTCGCCAACCTGCGTGCTAGGAGCGATCGTACGGTGTACCATCTCATTGGCGCATTCCTCATATTTCCGATAACTTTCATGGCCGCAAACATCGGCGTTGGCGCGCCTCTCATCATCAGTCTCCATTCTTCTATTCAATCTGAGGCCTTGGTCACCTTGGGGACGATGGCGTCCATTCTGGTCTCCGTGGTCGCCATCATGGCTCTCCCAACCATGATCCCTGGAATTGAGGGGGAAGTGAGACTACCGATGGACTCTTCGAGTTCTTAACAGATCAGATCGTGTTGGAGTTGAGGGACAGCCACAACCGACGGAAGTTTTTGATTAATTATGGGCCGCTGCCGTTATGTTATTCAAATGCAGACAGATCACATACCCACCGTAAGAGTGGTGTATACAATGCATGAAGATCAGATCTAAAGAATAGTGTGTAAGATATATTTGTGACTTTGCAGCTGTTTCTGGTCTACCGTGGCGCCCCGAACGTTTATTAAACGAAAATAGTTCAGATGCAAACAAACATCTCTTTTGAGCGTTGAGTTTGAT